ACGAGAACTTTTTTCGACTCCCCATCGATAATTTAAGTATCGGACTCGTCATGATTGCTCATCAGGGATATTGAGACTTTCTCGGAAGAGACAATTTCACCAACTTTATTACACTATACGTTGGGATTTTATGCTACACTGTATATAGATAACAAGTGCAAAGAAAGAAGAAAATAAAATCTATTTATAGATGCAACAATGTGACGTTGAAGGAAAGCAATTTGAAATGCCTCACAATTTGTTCAGGGGTCTAGTCATGAGATGGATTATGGACTAGATGGCACTGAGATACTCTTCTCTTTTCCGCTAGAAAATTCAGTTTTTAGTAGTATTCATAAAATGTTTTCCAATTCAGCAACTATGGTTGATAACAATATTAGTTATCTAACAGTTGACGTAAATAGTGAAGAACATATTACAGTAACTCAAGTTAATTAGAAAGAAAAGCAGATAACAAATTATTTTGCGATTTATTTCAGACTAAAGCAGTGTTTCCATGGCTTCAAAAACAGAAAATGATATGATCGATGGATCCTCCGGTAAAAGTGATTTAGTCCCGAGTGACTCGAGTCACATTTGCAAAGACTCTCACACAGACTCGAAGATCTGACCTTTTAAAGACTCGAACTTGAAAGTGCTGACGCGTTTATATTGGTTCTCTGGAAATAACATTTTTGAGTACAAGAACACACAAAATTACGATTTAGTATTTTTTTAAACTTTACTGTGATATATTCAGCTAGCACATCATAGCAATTCCAAAGGCGAACTAGATGTTCTTTGCTGTCAAAATGTGTTCTATCTGTTGAATTACTTTTAGAACTCTACATCAACTAGTACAACACAAAGAATATGTACATTAGCATGGATATTTACACCAACACAATCTCATTTTGGAATAAGTGGCTGAAAGTCGTATAAAATAGACACTCTAACTCTGAACTTTTGTTTTGCAGTGTCCAATATTAACAATTACATATTCAAGCACACAACAAACTTATCAATTAAATGCTGAAAAATATAATCATGCCAGAAATGCTGAAGATATTGCATTGTTAACACAGAGAGCGTTATCCTTTTTATTTAGTACAATGTTCTTTGGAATGAAGAATTGAAAGTGAGTTCTGCTGATGTCACAGTAATAGAAACGAAATCATTCTATCCACAACGTATTCATACAATTGATCAACATATGTATCAACCACCAATAAAGAGTTCAACGCATGCGTTTCTGTATTAGAAAATAATCGGTTAACTTTTTTACGCATGTTTAAAGATGCATTGTCACATATGTTTATATTGGAAGAACATTATGAAACTTCGAAACAAAAATTAGGAAATCTGATCTTAAAATCAGATTATTTAATAGGGCAAGTAGCTGGTTGGCTTTGAATCTTGATTATTTGCAACTGCTGAGATCAATAAATGACATATTTAATGGAAAACTTAATATAGATATCTTGTCACCCAACGATCAAGTGATAATGATTAGTCTATTAATACGATATAGACCAAGTTTAAAACAAACATCTTCTGAACTACCAATTGAATTAGTCGCTCAGAAATCCTTGATAACACAAGGTTTAAGTTTTTCATAACAATAGTGAGAGCTGTGGTAAGAACTGGACAGAACTACTATCCACTTCAAAAAAGAATTTATTTGAATGTTTTTCCAATAACTCAAGGGAGAATACCGCTCGAATTTCTATTATTTTGTAAAGAAATATTACTCTGTCTTCTAGTATCAGAGACCAGAATACTCTCTGACTTTCGGCCGGTGTACCTGACGGATGAGAAATGAAGTTGTCAGGTGCTGCAGCTGCAACGGATTTCCAGTTTCCAGTTGTAACATACTGATTAGATACCTTAATTATCTTCCATAATTCTGTGCACTGTGAACATCTCTAGTTGTTGTGTTTGTCAGATAGAAATTCTGTTTTAAATTTGATACCAATAATCTATTGCTATAGAAAAAGCCGTCACAGCAATATTTGTTATCGCAACGAATAATCTGTCTACTGAAAAGTCAGATATAGTATTATCACTGTTAAAGATTTTGTTGCAACCTTTCGTCAATTGCATCCAAACACAAAGTTCATTATACCACGCGTCCCTTATAGGAAATATTCTGGTTTCCAAAAAAACATCCATAATGTAGTATCGCATTACAACGATTTATTAGGCAATGAAGTTTCGCTTGCACTTCAGCTTTTGACACATATGATTTGGGAATCAATAATGAACCATTTTACTAAAAGACCGTCAATTAAGGGTACCGCTCTCCTTATTTTGGGCTTTCCGTAGAAGTGCTCTGAATTAAAAACTAAAACTCACTGAGACTTCATATTTTCAAAAGTGATTGGAAACTCGATGGAGCACTTTGTCGCTTTTGTTCCAAGTGTCTAACTATTGCCGATCATTAGTCTTCCAGAAAACTCGGTTGTTCATTGTGTCACGTTACGGACCCCCCTTAAATTTCATCCGACCGAGTTAAAAATTTTATCAGAGTTACTCGAGGTCATACCACAGAGGTATAATTTGGGAATTTTATTTTTGATCTTTCTTTATTGAGTTAAATTTTTAACTCGATTTGATGACATTAAGGGAAGTCGTAATGTGACACAATGAACATTCGAGTTTCGTGGAAAACTAATGATCGGCAATAGTTAGACACTTGAAACAAAAACGACAAGGTGCTCCATTGAGTTTCCAATCAGTTTTGAAAATATGAAGTCTTAGTGAGTTTTAGTTTTAATTCAAAGCATTTCTACGGAAAGCCCAAAATAAAGGGAGCGGTACCCTTAATTGACAAATATTTGGATCAAAAAGACAATAAACAACTGAACATGGCTATCAAAAGTCATTTGTCTGCATGATATTCTACCCAAAACAAAATATCTTTCACTCTATTGTTTCACATTCCACACTCGCCTCAGAACACATTTCATTTACATCAATGCCATATTGAAACATCCATCGGCATTGGATCTCTTATGGAGGTGATCACGAATAATAACAGAGTTGTGAACATTGTTTTTTTGAGTGTTTTATTTAGTTCATTTGCGGATAAACCAGTTTTTATCTTTTTGTTTCTTACAAAGCTAAAATGTTGTGAGATGTATTTTTGTGCATTTGCACCTGTTATAAAGTGCTATGATGAAAACGAATTATACAAGTAAGAAAGAAAATGGTCTGGATAAGAGTTTTTGCAAGGAGACGTTTCTATTCTTGGAAAAAAATTGTTTAATCTTTAGTTCATTTGTGTAACCGAGTGATGAACGTGAGGGACCATGTATCGATGCTTTTCAACTAAAATATCGTTGTATAACGCACTCAAAATTCGACTTTCGTTTTAAAGTCAAATGACTGTTCTTCATACTTTGATGTTGTGTTCAAATTATTTGTGAACTGTATAATCATACGAAACTCAAAGCTGATCAAAAAAGGTCATTCTTCATTATGCAGATACTCCACTGATGCTTGATCGTCAAACCTTTTGATTTTCTTGCGAACAAATTTATATTATGACCTGACAAAAAATACATAGAGATAAACGTCTTGTGAAGTACTATCACATGCTATAGTATCTTGTTTAGTAGTTGAAATTATAAAAACCGGAGGTATTCTTTAGAACTAACCAAAAAGTATTTGTGTGTCTACGATAATTTTGCTTCCACATGTAATCCGAGAATTGGATCCTGTTCCGAATTAGCAATTGATATCATAGCCTTACCATCTTCATAGACTGTTATTTGTCTTCCTGTACAGTTACCATTCTGCAAATTACCAGAAATAATATCACAATATTCACCAGCTGGCAACCCAGTCTGTAACCATTGTTCCATTGAATAATCATCATTGTTAATTGCAACAAATGCTACAAACAAGTAAAGAATACTTACAACGAAGTAATTATAACGAATAGTTTACCTTTGTTTCCACGAGAGAATGCAATTTGATTGTTACCATTATCCCACCTATACAGCAAAAATAAATCATGTACGGCAAAGGATGATTTAATGCAGCGTAAAATGATGGACAAACGCGTTTTACTGCCAGCCTTTTTACCAACTATCTAAACTTTTTATCTGCTGAATAAAATGTTTTCCCTCATAATGCCTATTCTTTATGAACTTTCTCAGAAGTACGTGTACCGTGTAAGAATTATCTTGGACACCCGACGCCTAAGTCAAATCTTGTACGAATAATTCATATTAGTAGAGCGGTAAAGAAAACAAAATACTCTTCAGTTCTGTTTTCTAATCTAACTTTATACTTACCAATTTTCAACTGGATAACCCCAGGCTACATTTCGAAACTGGACGAAACTATAAATTTGTCTCCAACGATGTTCACAGACCCATCCACCACCACAGGAATCATCGCTAAAGAATGAAAACATACTCTTTCTTAAAAGCAAAAATAAGACCAGAGAACGACAATGACTGGTGTATCCCTCGTCTCTCACTTTAAATTCGTTCCTTCTACCTATACAGCAACAGTCTTATAGTACTTAGGTTGTGCCAGGTTATTGGCGCTTAACTGAATAGAAGCCATTGCAACAAGAAACTATGTTGTTTAAACACCATCAAACTGAAAATATTTCCCATTATCTTGTAAATCCACTTTTTTCATTTATTAGGCAGATAACTATTATTTTTTCAGGCTAATTTCTTTGATCTTTTGAACCCTAACCCGACATATAAATCCGCCACGTTTTGATGCAAAAATCGTTTTCGAAAGCTATGGTTTCGTGTTAAGAATATTTCCTCCACTAAATGGCATGACAAGGTATCACACATGATAATGGTTATGACAGATTTTCTCAATCAAACTAATTTGCTACAATGATAAATGTTGCACACAATGCTTGAAGTACAAATCGCTTATGGTACTTCTGTTGCCACTGATAATTTATCTATTGACACCAAGTGATACATACTATATAAAGGGTGGGCCAGAAGTTCTGACTCGATTTGAATAATAAATTTTTGTATAGTGAAACAAGTGGTTGTAAATTTGTCTCTATGAAGAAAATATGCAGTAAAAAACGCTGTACAAAATGACGATTGATTGACCCCGTTAGCTCATCTAGTAAGAAACTTACAGGCTTAGAAATGTGCTTCACAAAAAAGAAAAATTAACCGTGAACCCGGTCTCGGTATTTTTGCTTTAACTCCTGTTCCTTAGGTCCCCTAGAACAAATTCTTTTTTAATAAAAGCGTCATCAAATTCTCTACAAAATCGTACCCAAACTTTAATTTCAGAACTTCAATCAAGAAAACTAAGCAAATTATACACGAGGCGAAAAAAATGAAAGCTTTGTAAATTTTGTTTTCTTTACTTGAACTCTTTCTTCTCCTATTATTTCCGTAAAAAAAGC